GCAAGGGCCCCAGCTAACCATCTGATAGCGGATGGGCCGGCACGCCCATGCTAAACCCGAGCCCCCCGCACAAGCTCGTCCAGACCCTTACTCTCGGAGCCCGAATTACTGGTTATCCTAAGTGGTTCGATGGCATCAATGCTCGAGTCGGCGCTGGCGTCGACGCTGGCGCCGATGCGGGGGCCGACGACGGCGCGGGCGGGGCAGGAGCTGCAGCGGCTGCGGCGGTGATCGCCGACTAGGGGGGGGCGCAGCAGAGGACGGTGAAGGCGCAAGCGAGCAGGGCGTCTTCGCCCCCGCGCTGTCGCGAACTGGTGGACGCTGGAGGCCGATAGGTGTTAGGCGGAGGTGAAAGGTCGGATCCCGGACGCAGGGCGTCGGACTGCAGAGCTGGCGGACGTTGAAAATCGAGAGTTGCGAACGGGAGCAGAAAGGTGGAGACGGGACTGGACAGTCTGATTCGGGACGCTCGTGGTCGAAGTGCAGGCGTCGGTGCTGGCGTCAGTGTTTGTGTACGCGCTGACATTGGTCCCAGCGTAGGCGACGGCGTTGGTGCTGGTGCATGGGTTGGCGTAGACGCTGGCGTAGGCGCTGGCGTTGGTGCCGGCGTAGGCGCCGGCGTTGATGCTGGCGTCGGAGCCGACGTCGGCGCTTGCGTAGGCGCCAGCGTTCGCGCTGGCGTCGACGCTGGCGTCGGCACTGGTGTAGGCGCTGTCGTTGCGTCTTGAATTGTGGGCGCGGATACTGGCACCGAAATCCGCGACACTTTCGTTGCATCGGGAAGCCCTCACGGATCCGGCGCCGAATTTGAATGTCGCGGAGTTGGTGCGCCACGGAACTCTGGCATCTGGTATCCGATGCGTTCGTCGAGCTCGCTGCGGTCGTCGAACTTCTCGTCGTCGCGGCGCTGCTGCGCGCGGCGCTGCTGGCCCCGGTTGCGAGAGTCAAACGTTCCTGGGTTGCGGAGGAGCCCGCGAAGGCCCCGGCCAACCACCTGATGGCGGATGGGCCAGCACGCCCATTCTACACCTGGGCCCTCCGCACCCAACGTCCAAGCCGTTACTCTCGAAGTCCGAACTTATGGTTGATCCCAGGTTGTGCGATGGCATCAGTGCTGGCGTCGGCGCCGGCGTCGACGCTTGCGCGGGCGTCGGCGTCGGCGTCGGCGAAGGCGCCAGCGCCGGCGCCGGCGCAGGGGCCGACGACGGCGCGGGCGGAGCAGGAGCAGCAGCGGCCGCGGCAGCATTCGCCTTCGAGGGGGCGGCAGCAGCGGACGGCGAAGGCGCAAGAGAACAAGACGCCCTCGCCCTCGCGCCCTCGTGAACTGGTGGACGCTGGAGGCCGATAGGCTTTAGGTGGAGATGAAAGGTCGGGCCCAGGACGCAGGGGGTCGGAATGAAGAGCTGGCGGGCGCTGGAAATCGATACGCGATGGAAGTGGGAAGGTGGAGACGGGGGCGGAAAGTCGGATTCGGGACGCCGGAGGTAGACGCGCTGAGCACGCGAGGGCCAGAAGTCGACAGATGGAAATGTTGGCCCGAAGTCGATAGGCGAAGAGGGTGGAATACGCCAATGGATTCGTCGTCGCACTCGCCGGGCCGGGCGCCCAGCATCCGCATCTCGCGGTCGCCGCAGTGGGCGGGCGCCGCTGGTGCCCCAGCGGATCCCGCGCCCCGCGGCTGAAGATTCGCCCCGCGGCCGTCGGTGCCGACGCTGGCAAGCAGCTCGTAGGCGGGCAACCCCGCGGCATGCTTCGCGCAGCAATTGATCAACGCAACGATTAATGCTACGCGGGCTGCCCGCGAGACACCGACGACGTTGGCGACGCACGTGGTTCACAGTGCGATGCATCACGGACGTGGAGACAGCTTGCCGCATCAATATGCCATGATCCATCGAACCCCCCAACGCGACATGTGCCAATCCATGCTGCAGAATACCCTACCCCAGCCGTCGCCCCTGCCAGAGTCGCAGGACCGGGCGCCGGCAATAATGCTCCACTGCGAACTGGGCCGATGGGCTGCATCGGACAACGCGCGGACCTCGATGGCTCCGAAGGCCGAGCACGCGGCGGCCCGCTGTCCACCCGTTCAGCACCGTGCCCAGCGATGCCGCGCATTAACTCGGCAGCACCAGGCGTCGCAATCGCCGCAACTGCCGCGCCTCACGTCGTGCCAACCCGCCGGGGTAGATGGGCAAGTTCCACCGCGATGGCCGCGCCCGCAGGCGCCACTCCACGCAGTATTTGTCTTGTCGAAGTAAAGGGTCCATGAACCAGCGCTGCGCGCCATGCTTGAGGCGCGCGCGGGTCTCGCCAGAGGTCCTGTTGCCGATCCTCCGAGATCCAGACGGGCAACGCAAATTTGGATTCCGGTCAAGCGCACGTGCTCGAGCGAGATCTCGCGAGACCGTCGGCGCGCGCTGCCCGAGCCACGGCTGCAGCCCGAGGAGCACGCCGACCTGCTAGCATCGATACTTCACTTCTGTCAGTTCCGCAGCAAGTCGGCCCCAAGGAGTGCCGCCATCGTTGGAGGCCGCCCACGCGCGCGCGCGCGCCGCATCATAGCCGCCTGGCAAAAGGTCAGCCAGGGTCGGAGCCGCCTGGACAGACCCAACTCCGCGGCGCGATGCACGTCCCCGGGTTTGCACCACACGCCGGGCCCAGGTGCCACACGCTGATCAGCTGCTTCCCGCGCAAGGACGGCAGGCAGCGGCGGCTCCAGCTGGGCCGCGAAGAGAAGCACGGGCAAGACAGATACGTTCTAGGTGGCGATCGCTAAGTGAAGGCCAAGCTCGCTCCACCACCATTATATCGGACGCTCGTCGAATTTCGCCATCGTCAGCTCGCCCCATGACTTGCCCGCCTTGCCTGGTCCAATATAGTCCAAGATACTTCCCTGGAGTAGTCGAAGAAATTCGCACTGCTGCCGGGCCCCCCTCAGTGGATTGCTGCAGTTGGGCCACGTCGGCGCCCCACAGCGGAATGACCACGGTGTTGGCAAAATTAATGCGAGATTGGGAATAGACTCAAAAAAAATGACATCTGAAAATGCAAAATACCCGTTGGTTGCCCCGTCTCCAGGAGCGCAAGACCATCGCTGCGTCGTCGTCGAAAGCCCGAACGGCAGCCGCGGAGTGGCGCAGGTCAATGATGCACAACAAACTGTCCGATGCGAGGGCGAAGAGCAGCGGCGAGAGCGGGCAAACTTGCCGAATCCCCGCTTGCAGCGCGACGTCTCCGTGAAGCCTTGCCTGCAGTAGTAGAGTGCCGATGGTCTTGTGGCAAAGAGAAGTGAGCACCCCCAGTGCGGTCGGCGGGAAGCCAGCTGCCTCGGACATAGCCATGATGTACTGCCTCGACACAGACGGGAAGGGAGCCGTGAAGTCGAAAACCACGATCGCTTCGTCCGTCTCTTCCAGCGCCGCCAGCAGTGCAGTGTGCTCCACGTCCGCGACGTTCGAGAGCATCGAGCGGACTTGTATAAACCCTCTCTGATGTACTAGTGCTGGGCGCCACCAGCGGTTCCCATCTCAAGCGGTAGGCGTTCGCGATAATACGGTTGTCTGTATTGGTGGTAGTGAGAGGGCACGCCCCATCGGGTTTGCAAACTGGTTCTCCGGCGGTCCTCGCGGACCGGTAACTTCGGCAAACAACACAACAGCGACTCATTAAACAAGTCGTGGGCCTCCGTCACCTCCCGAAAGCCCTCTTCGAGTCGTCCCCCCGCCTCCCCCAGCACGTGAACTCCTAGTGGGCCAAAACAGCGACATGCCTGGAAGGGGGTCCCATCTGGGCCCGGTCGCGAGTTGCCCGCGATGCGCAATGCTTTCTGGATGTCCTGGGACCGCAGGCGGTAGCGTCAGACATTGGTCCCCACCGCGCGTGGCAAGCGCTGCCCAAGTAGTCAGCTTCGTCTCGTGCGAAGTCCAGATCGAAAGCGTCGTCGTCGCTGAAGCCGACAGTGGTGAAACATGAGATGGTACCGCGCAATCCAGGGTCGGAGGTGGGAAATTGAAGATTAGAGCCGTCCTTGGTGAAACACGCTCGACTGTAAGAACGGGCTGGTCTTGTTGAGGCTGTCCTGGAGAGGTACCTGCACGCCAGTGCCTGTCATCACAGAGGGTGGCGTGGAACCTGAAGAGCGAACTTGTGTTGTTATGTCGTTTGTATTGTGAGCGTTAGCGCCGTCGTTTTGAAGCAGATGCGCGGGCGCATTCTCCGAGCCATCATTTCTACAAATCACTGTCCGTGCCGGGGTCCGGATTGATTTAACACGAAATATGTTCAATGAGTTGACCACCTTCTCCTCCACTGAATTGCCCACTGCTGTCGCTTTCCACTGTTCATCCGCATCGTACCATGCCACCTTCTTCCCGTTTACGGTGACCATCTGCTTGGCCCACAAGATCTGCACATTATCGTTTTGGTGTTTCGGCTCTTCGCGTAAGTGGAATTTTGTGTAGACCAGCCGTTTGTCTTCGATATGCTCTTCCGTGGTTTGGTTGTTCTTCCAGCATACACCATCCAGCCATGGTTTGTCTTCCATCCCCTGATATCCCTTGCAAACGCATATGTATCTGATGTCGTGACGGCAACAACAACAACAAAAACAAAACCAACAACAATCATGTTACCCCGAATGTTCGCTGATTCTATATGCAGCATGAATCCATCATGATAGCCCCCCCCCCTCATAAGGGGATTTCTTTTTGCACACGGCGGTCCGACATTCCCTCTCCCTGATCTCCCGCCCAAGGACGTCTTGACAACACCACTTCCGAGGCACTCAACATCTCCAGCCTGGATAACACGTCGCCTTCGCAATCGCCCTGCTCAGGCATTGCTTCTAGGTGACACCACCCCCGCCCAAAACCTCTTGGAGACACCCCACAACCCAAGGGAAAGCCCCCAGAGCCCCTTGGACAGCCTCTGGAGCCCTTTGGAGAGCCCCCAGAGCCTCTCAGAAAAGTTTCGGGAACTTTTTGGTAAATAATGAGGGCCCCTGGGAGACGTTTTAAAACTGAACTGGAGGATGTCGGGTCATCTTGAAGGAGGCCTCAGGGCATTTTTGGAAAAGGCTTGGATCGGAGGAGCTTCTGGGCCTCGGGGAAGGGAGAAGAGGAGGGAGCAGGAAGCGGAGGAGGAGTACGAACGAGGGAGAAAGACGATTGAGGAGGATGAGGAGCAGGAGGAGGAGGAGCAGGAGGAGGAGGAGGAGGCGGACGTGGAGGAGGAGGAGGAGCAGGGGGAGGGGGAGTCTACCGCAACCAAGAAAAAAACGCGGCGCCCCAGCTGCTGCCTGGCCAGGCCGTCGCGAGCCTCGGCCAGAGGCAGTGGCTCGGGATCCACCCTCGGAGAGCGGAGAGCTCCTGGAGCCCCCGGCAGGGCTCAGCGCAGCGGGGAGTCGGTGTACAACGCCCAGTCGCCCCAGGCGGAGCCAGTGAGGCCGTCCTGATAGAGCATCCCCATGATGGCCATCATCGCCAGGCGGCCGTTGGCCATCTCCGCGTTCAGCTTCTTCTTCAGAACCTCCGGGTCCGTTGACGTGATCGCCTTCCAGCCGAGGTCGCCCGGGGGGGCCTTGCTGTTGTATGTGCCGAACTCCCAGTAGCCCGCGAAGAGCACGATCTGCAGCCATCCAGACAGGGGCACCTTCGACAGGGCGGCCAGGCCGTTGGGGACGTCCGCGAACTTCAGTCCTGCAGAGGGAGACAGGTACCCGGGCCACTTGAAGTACTCCGGGGAAATGTAGCCCATCGTGGCCCACATGGCCACGCGCCCGTGCTTGATCTCGGTCACCCTGCGGCGCGTGAACGTGGCGACATCGCCGTCGGAGCTCAGGCCCACGGGGTCCCAGTAGCCAAGAGGCGCCTGGACGCCGATCTCGCTCTCGAAGGCGCGCAACGGGGATCCGGTGTACAGGGCCCAGTCGCCCCACGCGGAGCCGGTCAGGCCATCCTGGAAGAACATGCCGATGATCGCCATCATCGCCAGGCGGCCGTTGGCGATTTCTGCCGCCAACTTCTTCTGCTTCTCTGCAGGGTTGCTGGACGTCAGAACTTTGAAGCCGAAGTCACCCGCTGCGGCGGCGGAGCCAGCGGACTGGTCCTGGGACAGCTCGCAGAACGCGCCGTACGCCACGATCTGCGCCCAGCCCGCCGCGGGAACCTTGGAGATGGCACCGAGGCCGTTCGGGACGTCCGCGAACTTGATCCCCGCGGACGGCGACAAGTACCCTGGCAGCTTGCCGGTGATCTCCGGAGTGATGTAGCCCATCGTCGCCAGCATTGACACGCGACCGTGCTTCAGCTCCGTCTGCCGCCTGCGAGCAAAGTTCTCCGTGCTCCCGTCGGCGGTGAAGCCCGCTGGGTCCCAGAAGCCAACTGGGTCTTGCACGCCGAGCTCGCTCTCGAAAGCGCGCAGCGGAGAATCTGTGTAATTAGCCCAGTCGCCCCAAGCAGATCCAGTCAAACCGTCCTGGAAAAACATCCCAATGATGGCCACCATGGACAGGCGGCCGTTTGCAATCTCCGCGTTCAGCCTGCGCTTGCGGATCTCGGGGTCTGGGCTGGTGAGCAGAGGAGGCTTCCAACCAAGGTTACCTGGCTCCAGTTCGCCTTTCAACCCACCAGCACTACCTTCGAAAAAGATACCATCTTTCACACCCGTGCCCGTGAATTCACAATAGCCACAGTACGCAAGGATCTGAAGATATCCACCGACGGGAATCTTGGAGAGTGCTGCAAGGCCATTAGGGACATCCTCAAAGAGGATCTTCTCATCCAAAGACAGGTATCCTGGGAATTTGCCGGTAATCTCTGGCGTGATGTAGCCCATCGTGGCCAACATACAAATGCGGCCATGCCTGATCTCGACGCAACGGCGGCGCTTGAAAGCATCGGCATCGCCATCCTTCGTGAAGCCCGCGGGGTCCCAGAAGCCCGTCGGCGGTTGCACTCCGAGCTCGTTCTCGAACGCGCGCAGCGGGGAGCCCGTGTAGAGCGCCCAGTCGCCCCACGCCGAGCCCGTCAGGCCGTCCTGGAAAAACATGCCGATGATCGCCATCATCGCCAGGCGACCGTTGGCGATCTCCGCTGCCAGCTTCTTCTGCTTCTCCGCGGGGTCGGGGGACGTCAGCAGCTTGAAGCCGAACTCCCCACGCGAGGCTGGGGACCCGGGAATCGTCTGGTCCTGGCTGATCTCTACATACGCGCAGTACAAGAAGATCTGGCCCCAGCCCCCGAGCGGCACCTTGGAAAGCGCGCCGAGACCGTTCGGGACGTCCGCGTACTTCAGGCCCAGCGACGGGGACAGGAAGCCAGGGAAAGGCCCAATCAGCTCCGGGGTGATGTAGCCCATGGCCGCCAGCATGGCGATCCGGCCATGCTTGATCTCAGTGGCGCGCCTCCGAGCAAAATCATCCGCGCTTCCGTCGGCGGTGAATCCGGCGGGGTCCCAGAAGCCCGCTGGGGGTTGCACTCCGAGCTCGTTCTCGAACGCGCGCAGCGGGGAGCCCGTGTAGAGCGCCCAGTCGCCCCAGGCAGAGCCCGTCAGGCCGTCCTGGAAAAACATGCCGATGATCGCCATCATCGCCAGGCGGCCGTTGGCGATCTCAGCTGCAAGCTTCTTCTGCTTCTCCGCAGGGTCGCTGGATGTCAGCACCTTGAAGCCGAAGTCGCCCGCCGCGGCCGCAGTGCCAGCGGACTGGTCCTGGGACAGCTCGCAGAACGCGCCGTAGGCCACGATCTGCGCCCAGCCCGCCGCGGGAACCTTAGAGATGGCGCCGAGGCCGTTCGGGACGTCCGCGAACTTGATCCCCGCGGACGGCGACAGGTAGCCAGGCAGCTTGCCAGTGATCTCGGGAGTGATGTAGCCCATAGTCGCCAACATGCTCACACGGCCGTGCTTCAGCTCAGTCTGGCGCCGACGGGCGAAATTCTCCGTGCTACCATCCGCCGTGAATCCGGCGGGGTCCCAGAAGCCCACCGGGTCCTGAACTCCCAGCTCCGACTCGAACGCGCGCAGCGGGGAGCCCGTGTAGAGCGCCCAGTCGCCCCAGGCAGAGCCCGTCAGGCCGTCCTGGAAAAACATGCCGATGATCGCCATCATCGCCAGGCGGCCGTTGGCGATCTCAGCTGCAAGCTTCTTCTGCTTCTCCGCAGGGTCGCTGGATGTCAGCACCTTGAAGCCGAAGTCGCCCGCCGCGGCCGCAGTGCCAGCGGACTGGTCCTGGGACAGCTCGCAGAACGCGCCGTAGGCCACGATCTGCGCCCAGCCCGCCGCGGGAACCTTAGAGATGGCGCCGAGGCCGTTCGGGACGTCCGCGAACTTGATCCCCGCGGACGGCGACAGGTAGCCAGGCAGCTTGCCAGTGATCTCGGGAGTGATGTAGCCCATAGTCGCCAACATGCTCACACGGCCGTGCTTCAGCTCAGTCTGGCGCCGACGGGCGAAATTCTCCGTGCTACCATCCGCCGTGACTCCCAGAAGCCCACCGGGTCCTGAACAAACGCGCGCAGCGGGGAGCCCGTGTAGAGCGCCCAGTCGCCCCAAGCCCGTCCCGTCCTGGAAAAACATGCCGATGATGCCATCATCGCCAGACCGTTGGCGATCTCAGCTGCAAGCTTCTTCTGCTTCTCCGCAGGGTCGCTGGATGTCAGCACCTTGAAGCCGAAGTCGCCCGCCGTGCCAGCGGACTACAGCTCGCAGTTCTAGAGCTCTTTCGCAACGCGTTTGATCCCCGCGGACGGCGACAGGCCAGGCAGCTTGCCAGTGATCTCGGGAGTGATGTAGCCCATAGTCGCCAACATGCTCACACGGCCGTGCTTCAGCTCAGTCTGGCGCCGACGGGCGAAATTCTCCGTGCTACCATCCGCCGTGAACCCGGCGGGGTCCCAGAAGCCCACCGGGTCCTGAACTCCCAGCTCCGACTCGAACGCGCGCAGCGGGGAGCCCGTGTAGAGCGCCCAGTCGCCCCAGGCAGAGCCCGTCAGGCCGTCCTGGAAAAACATGCCGATGATCGCCATCATCGCCAGGCGGCCGTTGGCGATCTCAGCTGCAAGCTTCTTCTGCTTCTCCGCAGGGTCGCTGGATGTCAGCACCTTGAAGCCGAAGTCGCCCGCCGCGGCCGCAGTGCCAGCGGACTGGTCCTGGGACAGCTCGCAGAACGCGCCGTAGGCCACGATCTGCGCCCAGCCCGCCGCGGGAACCTTAGAGATGGCGCCGAGGCCGTTCGGGACGTCCGCGAACTTGATCCCCGCGGACGGCGACAGGTAGCCAGGCAGCTTGCCAGTGATCTCGGGAGTGATGTAGCCCATAGTCGCCAACATGCTCACACGGCCGTGCTTCAGCTCAGTCTGGCGCCGACGGGCGAAATTCTCCGTGCTACCATCCGCCGTGAATCCGGCGGGGTCCCAGAAGCCCACCGGGTCCTGAACTCCCAGCTCCGACTCGAACGCGCGCAGCGGGGAGCCCGTGTAGAGCGCCCAGTCGCCCCAGGCAGAGCCCGTCAGGCCGTCCTGGAAAAACATGCCGATGATCGCCATCATCGCCAGGCGGCCGTTGGCGATCTCAGCTGCAAGCTTCTTCTGCTTCTCCGCAGGGTCGCTGGATGTCAGCACCTTGAAGCCGAAGTCGCCCGCCGCGGCCGCAGTGCCAGCGGACTGGTCCTGGGACAGCTCGCAGAACGCGCCGTAGGCCACGATCTGCGCCCAGCCCGCCGCGGGAACCTTAGAGATGGCGCCGAGGCCGTTCGGGACGTCCGCGAACTTGATCCCCGCGGACGGCGACAGGTAGCCAGGCAGCTTGCCAGTGATCTCGGGAGTGATGTAGCCCATAGTCGCCAACATGCTCACACGGCCGTGCTTCAGCTCAGTCTGGCGCCGACGGGCGAAATTCTCCGTGCTACCATCCGCCGTGAATCCGGCGGGGTCCCAGAAGCCCACCGGGTCCTGAACTCCCAGCTCCGACTCGAACGCGCGCAGCGGGGAGCCCGTGTAGAGCGCCCAGTCGCCCCAGGCAGAGCCCGTCAGGCCGTCCTGGAAAAACATGCCGATGATCGCCATCATCGCCAGGCGGCCGTTGGCGATCTCAGCTGCAAGCTTCTTCTGCTTCTCCGCAGGGTCGCTGGATGTCAGCACCTTGAAGCCGAAGTCGCCCGCCGCGGCCGCAGTGCCAGCGGACTGGTCCTGGGACAGCTCGCAGAACGCGCCGTAGGCCACGATCTGCGCCCAGCCCGCCGCGGGAACCTTAGAGATGGCGCCGAGGCCGTTCGGGACGTCCGCGAACTTGATCCCCGCGGACGGCGACAGGTAGCCAGGCAGCTTGCCAGTGATCTCGGGAGTGATGTAGCCCATAGTCGCCAACATGCTCACACGGCCGTGCTTCAGCTCAGTCTGGCGCCGACGGGCGAAATTCTCCGTGCTACCATCCGCCGTGAATCCGGCGGGGTCCCAGAAGCCCACCGGGTCCTGAACTCCCAGCTCCGACTCGAAGGCGGCGACGGCGACCACGCAGCGCTGCGCGGGCGCGGGCCCAGCCTTGCGGGCGGCGGCGAGGGCCTGGCGGGACGCGAGCGCCAGGGCCGCGGAGACGCCGATGAGGGCGAGGCTGACCGCTGCGGGCGCCGAGGCGGCCGCGGGCGGGGCGGCCGACTGGAAGGCCCCCGCGGAGGGTTGCGGCTGGACGGGTGCCTGCAGCTGGCCCTGGGCGGACGGCGCCACGAACGAGAGGCCCCCGCAGAGGGCCGCCGCCGCCGCGGCGGCGAGCGTGGCGGACGCGAGGGTGGACGGCCTCGCCATTGCTATAGACCGAAGGGTTTGTTGAAAAACCGAAGGGCCCGGGTTGCACACCCGAGGGGAGAGCGCCCCCGTGTTCAAAAAAACCTGCCGTACCGACGCTGCGCGGGCGCGAGGCTTGAGCCAAAATGGCTGCGGAGGAGGCTGACGAGGAGGAGGAGGAGGAGGAGGAGGAGGAGGAGGAAGAGGAGCAGCAGGAAGAGGAGGAAGAGGACGAGGAAGAGGAGAGGAGAAGGAGGAGGAGGAGAAGCAGCAGGACGAGGACGAGGAGGAGGAGGAGGAGGAGGAGGACGAGGAGGAGCAGCAGGAAGAGGAGGAGGAAGAGGAGCAGGGAGAGGAGGAGGAAGAGAAGGACCACGACGACGAGGAGGAGGAGGAGGACGAGGAGGAGGAGGAGGAGCAGCAGGAAGAGGAGGAGGAAGAGAAGGACCACGACGACGAGGAGGAGGACGAGGACGAGGAGGAGGAGGAGGAGGAGGAGGAGGAGGAGGAGGAGCGAGCGCATGAGGGGACGCGCCGAGTCGGAATACGGGACAGGAACAGACGATTGGGAAAAGGTGAGAACGCACACTCTCTCACAAACTAGGTGGGGAATGCGAAAGGGCAGGGCCTATCATATCCACCAGCACGCGCCCGTCGACGGGCCCATGCAACAGAATCAGGCCAGGAGAGCTGACCTGGGATCGGGGCCGATCGAATGACCAGCCCCAGCAAAGCTTCGAGAAACAAAACAGGTTAATCACACATGCAGGCCACTAGGCCAAGCCACTCCACCGCAGGATCCGACACGAGCATCCACCTTGAGAGCGGGATAGGATGCTTACGGCCTTCACTGGGATGGCGGCCAGAGGCGAAATTGTTTCTCCTCCATTTCCTCTGAGGGTTCCCATCGAAAACCTTGGGGCCCTCACAATCATTGTAAAGCTGGGATCGATGAGCTCGCTCTGAAAACGACCCGCAGCAAATGCATCCGACCACGTCGCCCGCTCTATAGAGCACGTGGCCCCTCGAGGCCTGAGGGGGGATCGGCCCCTCACCAGGGAGCACCGTGCTGGGAGAGGCGGCGTTGGCCCTCGCGGTGGCCGCGGCCAATCTGGGGCGCTTGTTCGAGCCAAGCTCGGGTCCCAGGGCGACGGCGGCCTCTCTGATACGGGTCTGGACCGCAGGTTCGAAATGTACCCGCGGCTTCACACGGCGGGGAACCCTAATGAACGCCTCCGCCTCCTCGCCCTCAGGCCTCCTAGTTTTGCCCGCGATCCTAACCCTCGGGCAGGGGCAAGGAGGGGGAAGAGGAGAAGGGTCAGGAGGGTCAGAGGACGAAACAGGGGTGGAGGGAGGGGCCCCGCGTAGCTCCTTCCTCCGAGGACCGTCCTCGTCATCACCGCCTGGGCGTCTTGGCCATCCAGGGGCCTCTTGAGGCTCTGACGGGGGCCAAGGGGGGGGCTCCGCGGGACCCCCTCAGGGCCGGACTGGGACTCAGAGGCCTGGGGTGCGGAGGGGAGGTGCACTGCACAAACCTCTAGCACCATTCTCCTACATCCTGAGGCTGTTCGCGCGAAGCGCTGACAGAATTTACATGTCCATCCTCCAGCCAGCCTGGGCCTGAGTTCGTGCAGGCGCTGGCTCTGTGTCAGAACGGGTCGCTGGCGTTCGGGTCGTCGGGGTTGCTGGCGTCGACGCCTCGGCCTGCGCGCTGGCGGCGGCCGGCGGTCCATGCTCCCAACCAACGTCATGGGAGACCCGATCCAGCGCGCCACCTGTCTCACAATGTTCAGCACATTCGCGCGCAGGTGGATGGCCTCCGACGTCAACGCGTGCATGGCCAAAGCCCGCTTCGCCGCAATATCCGCGTAGTCGTTGCCCTTCTTGTCGATCGTAGCCTTGCCCTGGGTCTGGCGCGAGCGCGCGCGCGAGATCTGCAGCTGCGAAGACAGTGATTGATGATCACGAACGGCCTGCCATATCATTCTCCGCAAGTCACAGATCGGCCTGCGCGGATGCGTGCACCATTGGGGCCCGCACGCGAGGCCTTCCACTGTGCCCAGGCAATCCGTTCGAATATGCAGCGGTAACATCCCATGTCGTAATACCTGTAGTACTGCGTATAATTCAGCACATGGAACTGATTGTTGATGTCCAGGGAGCGGCCCGTAGGCTACCCCCCGTAGGGCCTGTCCCGTCATCATCGCCATCCCCCATCCAGCTCAGTTGGCATCTGGCCATGCGATTGGAGGGGGCCCCGAGCCGTCCGTGTAGATGTCGCCCGTCAGCTTGATCAGGTCGCCTCCGTGAGCAAATCTCCAGGAATCCTCCATGCATGGTGACGGTATGACGGGCAAGGCGTCTCTGGGCATCAGGCCTCTGGTGAAGAAGAGGTCGTTGTGAGATGAGGCCCGCGCTGCCTGGATGACGCCCGCGTCCACTGCGGCCTCGCGCTCCTGCTGGGGCAGGGGGCAGCTCCACAGCCGATGATGTGCAGTGCCAGGACAGTCCATGCAGTGCTGACACAGGCCATCGGTAGCATATCCATGTTTGCGAAGTCGAGCCTGAGACCACTGCCCTCCGATGATGGAGGTCCGCAGTGCAGCTCGAGCCTGCTCCGACAAGTTCCACTTATTGGCCAACTCCTTGGGCGGCAGCAGCATCTTGAGTGGGCCCATCCAGTAACCACATGGTCGTCTGAC